CCCGTGTGTCCATGGGAACAAGTGTCCCAGCTTTCCTCTAAACTGTGGGGCAGCGGGCAATGCACTCAGTGCATGGAGGCAATGAGCTCAATCTCCCTTACTCAAATGCCATCACTAAGACACTTGGCTACCAGCTGGAGGTGTCCTTCCAAGCTGTGAGCTTCCCTCCAGGGGAGGGGGAGATGTAAAACCCCAAACATCTCAGACTGCCACTCTGTTCCCTTAGCCCTGGGAGTGCAGATGCTGACAAGTCCTTCTGCATTACGAGCAATCCCATCTGATAAAGTCAAACACCTGGACTGGCTCCTGCTCCCACCATTCCTAAGAAGCCACTGCTGCAGAGCAGGGCTTACTCCTTGGCCGTGCGCTGGCCGCAGCATTGGCAGTCAGCTGGCAGAGGCCCTTCTCCTCATGGCACACACGGCCAGCACCAACCAGAGCTCCAGCCATGGAGAGGAAGAAAGGTCTCCTAGAAAAGTGAAAGTGTGTGTGTGTAGCAGCAGAGTGTCTAGGACAAATGGCTTTGAGCTTGCTCAGAGATGAAGCCCCTAATTTGGCATTTTCTTTTTCTCTTTGGACAGCACTCCATTCTCAGAGGAACCACATGTCTAACCACAGCACTTTCAACGAGTTCCTCCTCCTGGTGTTTGCAGACAGGCGGGAGCTGCAGCTCCTGCACTTCTGGCTCTTCCTGGGCATCTACCTGGCTGCCCTCCTGGGCAACGGCCTCATCATCACTGCCATAGCCTGCGACCACCGCCTCCACACCCCCATGTACTTCTTCCTCCTCAACCTCTCCCTCTCCATCTCCACCACTGTCCCCAAAGCCACGGCCAATTCCCTGTGGGACACCAGGGCCATCTCCTACTTGGGATGTGCTGCCCAACTCTTTCTCTTTGCCTTCTTGGTGGGAACAGAGATTGCTCTCCTAATCATCATGGCCTATGACTGCTACGTTGCCATCTGCAAACCCCTGCACTACGGGACCCTGCTGGGCAGCAGAGCTTGTGTCTACATGGCAGCAGCTGCCTGGGGCACTGGGTTTCTCAATGCTGTGCTGCACGCATTCCATACATTTTCCATACCCCTCGGCAATGCTGTGGACCAGTTCTTCTGTGAAATCCCCCACATCCTCAAGCTCTCCTGCTCAGATGCCTACCTCAGGGAAGTTGACCTTCTTGTCATTACTGCCTCTTTTGGTTTTGCATGTTTTGTTTTCATTGTGGTGTCCTATGTGCAGATCTTCA